CACCGCTGCACAATTGAATAAAAATCATGACTGAAGTGTTGAGTTAATTATAGGTTATACTCCAGGCATTCTAACAATAGATGATAATGGCTTAATCGTCCCACGTATTGATCCGATCTACACCAGATTAATGTTTTGAAACTGAACAGGACGTAATTAACTTTGAATGAATGTATCCAGCCGGGTGACTAATCATGTTTTCTGTCATTTGTATAGAACTAGATATATATTTTGATGAACTCCTCGATACAGCAGAATTTAATTAACAGGGATGCCTCTGAGTAACCCTTTTCATCAACCTAGATCAGTGTCAATAGCAACACGAGAGAACGCCAATAGAATGGTTCATTTATTCAAGGGATAGTAACTCAACCAAAGGGAGACGCATTCCAAAACATTTGCATATCTTCATATCTTTCAACTCCAGACAGCTGGTTGACGAGTTTTTTCCGCAAGTATTCAGAAGACAGCATTCATAACATTAGCATTCAGTATTTTGTAATCAGAATCTCGAATTGTAATTCTTTTGAGCTATCGGGAAACACTACCGTATTTCACATGTCGTCACATTGTCATCCAGCTCCGTCTCAGTGTGCGGATAGTATCACAGAGTTGGACGAATAGTTGGTCATAAACGGCGCTTCCGGGACGATATTTCCCCTCATATTAGACTGCATGAACATATGCCCATCTTCATTATCCCTGTCCGGGAAGCAAAGTAGGACATTAAACCCCATTTCATTTCACCTTTGGAAATATGTCTCGCTAGGTTTAATTTAATTTAGAGGTAAGTATCAGATGCAGCTACTACTACTACTATAGCTAACTAGGGGTTAGTGTCCGATGCACCTACCACTTCCAGAAAGAGGTTAGTATCAGATGCAGCTACTACTATTACTACAACAACGAGCTAGAGGTTAGTATCAGTTGCAGCTACTGCAACGAGCTAGAGGTCAGTTACTAGCTAGTTGTAGTAGTAGCTGCATCTGATACTAACCTCTAGCTCGTTGTAGTGGTAGTAGTAACATCTGATACTAACCTCTAGCTAGTTGTAGCTGCAACTGATACTAACCTCTGGCTAGCCGTAGTAGTAGCTGATAGTAGATACTAACCTCTAGCTACATGTAGTTGTAGTAGCTCCATCTGATACTAACCTCTAGCTACATGTAGTTGTAGTAGCTCCATCTGATATTAACGTCTAGCTATTTGTTGTAGTTGCCCCATCTGATTTACTAACGTCTAGCTAGTTGTTGTAGTAGTAATTGTAGTATCATTAGTAGTAGTAGCTGCATCTGATATTAATCTCTAGCTAGTTGTAGTTGTAGTTTGCGTTTAAATTTATTCAATATAATATAATATAAACACCTAATCTTACATTATTAGAATATACACACCTATCTTTATTTGCGTTTAAACATATTCATTAGAATATAAATACACTTATCTTTATTTATTTACATTTAAACTTATTCATTACAAAAACCAACCTGTTTATTACACCATAACAGCTCTTAATCTAAGTTTTCAAACATCTTATCTAGATATTTGCAAATGTTAAAATGCCATAAGAAAAGCCACCCAGACGGTTGTCTATATAAATTATATTTCTATCTTTCTTCTACTTATAAAACATGGTACACATTTGAACAAAATACGTGATAATTTGGTAAAAATTTGGATGGTCGAGTTCTATCCAAGTTGTGGCATGTGTTATTAATCTTAACGTAAATATCTAAACTTGTTGCGCAAAATCTCTTAATATAGCCTACTTATATCACGGTTTTGCTGACTTCCTGATCACACTTATCGGGGGAGTGGGGTGGAGGGATTGAAGGGCTATCAAGGAAAGTGTGTCTCGCTCTTTATTTTAAAACCCAGGTTCTGTATACCAATTGAGAAAACACTTAAAATATTAGAAAGAAGCTTAGGTGCAAATGCCTCTCCTTGGGCACCCCCCCCCCCCCATACCTTCGTATTGCGCATGTATCGGTAGAATAAGTAAATATCGCATGTTAGTCTAAAAGGGCATTAAATCACATTTTATTGAAGGGGGAAACACGAATTTGACAAATTTACTTCGTGATTTCCAGCGATTGTCGGCTAGTTGCGGTCACAAACGGTTGATTCTGGGTCTGGTCACCAAAGGTTGATTCTGGTTCGGGTCACAGACGGTTGATTCTGGTTCTGATCACAAACGGTTGATCCTGGTCACAGACCAACTGTACACAATAAGCGGAGAGATGATAAGACGATAACGTATAGTAAGCGGCGACTAGATGGTTCCAAAACAAGACCTTTATGCCCAGTCCGTTTCTTACATCTACACGTAAAGAAACAACCGAGTGTTATAATTATGCCCAGACAGACTCTCTATAAACTAAAAATTTGGCAAAAAATATCTATAAGTTGTTTCATATCTATATTGATTATAATTAAATTATGATATGAGGAAGTCGCGGTCTACTTAAACATGTTTTATGAATTAGTAAACACAGCACCATTATTTTTTATATCATAATGCGAACGTACCACAAGACATACCAGATATATTACATGTGGAAGGAGCTAATTTATCACGTTGCTTAAATTTATTCTTATTGTAAACTGCTAGGCATATATTAAGTTATACAGTCCTCATCAGACAGACGCAGACCTAATAATAGTAATCAGTAGAAAATAGAGAAAAAAATAAGTAAATAAATAAGAAATCCCATCCTCCCACCCCCAAAAAGATGTAAACCAATAATAATAATCACGCTAAGAGTGTTTAATCTTAGGGAATAAAAATACACGGGAAGCAAGTGGAATATTAAATTCTCGATTGTTGCAAAAGAGGTCTCATAAAAAGGCTTTATGTGGAGAATAACCAGATGAGTCAAACTGTCACATAAAATGATGATGGTTGGAATTTAATTTGGATAGCATTAGTAACATAGGATTTCACCCGAGACACATGGACAAGGTCGAACCGGGTACCGTATATACTTAGTGGTAATGCTTGCAATGTCATTTGGCTCTTGGGACCGTTCGATACTAAACTTGATTATGTTTGTGATGTTCGAGCCAATAAATAATAAAGATGAGGGTGTGATATTAAATCGTCCATCAATAGTAGGTCACGGGCTCGCTCCCGGTGTTGGCCGAGCAAGTTCCTCTGGATTTTCCAGGGGGGTTTCCCCTTGTCATTGGTGCCGGATGTCTAGTCGTTCGCATAGGACGATAAACCGAGGTTTCGTGTACACATTGGTATGCACGTTAAAGAAACTCTGACATTTGGAATTTGAAAGAAGACTTGACAGTACTGCCACTTTCCGGGCAAAATTCCTCTCATTGCATACTGTATGGCGTTTGGCCATCTTCATTAGCCCAGTCGGCGCAGAAAAGTAGGACGATTCATTTTATTTCTATATACATGTATGTATTGTTTAATGGTCGAGAGCGAGACATTAAGTAATATATTGTAACAACAAGCGGGCCATAGGCCCGAGTGTTTTTAAAATATATATTACGCAATGTCTTAAGTTCGTGACCATTAAACGACTTAAAATACAGACACTCCGCACGTGCTTTTACAGTGAAATACGTAAAGCGAGTCCAATATTTCACTAGTATAAATAATGTACGATTGGCAAGTTCCCGTACGATTATTTGGAATAATGACACGCCAACATCACATCTGTATTTTAAATACATATAATCTAAGAGTATTGGTACATCCGTAAAGCTGTACGGTCGACGACATAAAGATAAAAAGTATACCGACGCAATATGATTTAATAACTGCCTTAAAAACATTCTGGGAGCTTTTCTCGTAGTAACATGTCACAGGAAAAAATATACTCATCTACTCTACTTTAAATGTTAATGAAGCCCTTTTCAAGTAGAAATGAAATTAGAAACATGTGAACTGTTACTGATGTAATAGATTAATCATAGTTTAAATCTCAACAGGCATTCTATAATTAAATTTATAACCAGCTCAGAAGGCTAAAGTTAATGGGACAAGTCAGTAATATAGCAAATATGCCAATGAATACAGTACCAACTCAGTCGCTTTCACACATGTTACCTATATGATAAAATATGCATTATGCATGAGCTAAATCTTCCTATTGCAGATCTTTATTTGGAGCCGAAATGTTATCAAAATTATTAACTGGGCATTAATTAACTTATCCATACCATAATCAACTCTCGATGCCATCGTTAGCCTGCGATATTTACTGGATTTGAATACATTTTGAGATTGATAATTTAATGTTTGTGATGGATGATTTAACGTAAAAATGGATAATCGAGGATTTAGTTTTAAATGCTAGCCTAAAATTGAATCGCTAATATCTCGGTTCAGAGAGAAGCAATTTGACTGAACTGTCAGCTCGTTATCTAAATCTTATCTAATGTCCCTTTAATTGAAACACTTGAAATGTATTGAAGCAGACATCAAATGTAAATGCTGGATACAATTCAAGATAAAGAACTAGCCATTCTTGCTATAATAGTTCGAAAGTAGATGATGTAAAATGAATAATTTGAAAATTTCATTCAAATTACTCTATTGCAAACGAAGATATTAGCCTTTGAAGGTTTGACAGACGTGTGCAATAATTTCAACCACCGTACTGGTTGATCGAAGCTAAGTCTCAATCCTCCATATTCAATTAAATCAAAGTATCGTTAAACCATTCTAATCTATTTAATATCGGAGAAATCTGATGCCGTCGAGAGTTGATAAAGGCCTGGATCAGTTAATTAATGTCTAATTAATACTTTAGAAGACATTTTAGGCCTAAAGAAAGACCTGCAATAGGCAGATTTAGCTCTTTCATAATGCATGTTTAAATAACGTTTCCACAGAACCTGGGTTGCAAACTACAGAAGTAAAGAGAGGTGATAACAAAGATCAGTGATGCAACTTTAACACTTGTCTCCAGATGAGCAATACATTAAATACCTTAGATCTGTATTAAAATGTTGCTGTATTTGTTTTGTTTTTTCAGTCAGCGTCAGCTTGGAACAATCATGCCCAAAAAATCCGCAGGCAGAAATCTCCACCTGTTTGACTAATATGGGATTGAACCCCGAAATGGCGGGCGGAAGCACTCTGGTGACAGACACAGACAGGGCCAAAAAAGTCTGCAAGTAAGTTATTATGGTTGTTTACGGATTAAATAACTCATTGTTATAATGTGGGGAATCGGGGGCAGAGAGGCTAAATAACTCATTGTTATAATGTAGGGAGTCGGGGACAGCAGAGAGGCTAAATAACTCATTGTTATAATGTAGGGAGTCGGGGACAGCAGAGAGGCTAAATAACTCATTGTATAATGTAGGGAATCGGGGACAGCAGAGAGGCTATATAACTCATTGTTATACTGTAGGGAGTCGGGGGCAACAGAGAGGCTAAATAACTCATTGTTATACTGTAGGGAGTCGTGGACAGGGAGGCTAAATGCTAGAAATAATAATATTTTGCTTTGGGTTTACTCGGAATAATTATTGTGTTCATGAGTCAAAATCCTGCTTTGAGGACACCTCCATGGGCCAGAGATCGACGATAATATTTTTTGTGGCCATTTATTGCTTTGAGAACCAATCTATATGTAATCCAGAATGGAGACCCTTGAGCTTGACCATTTTTACATTAATAAATAAATGTTAATAAAAATTGTCCTGTATCATTTTCAGAGAATTTCATCATATGTCTGTCAATACCGATGGGAATTGAACCATTTGTAAATCCCTATTAAACACATATTGATAAATATTACCCTTTATCACTTTCAGTGAATTTCATATATACCTATGGGAATAGAACCATATGTCAACCCCAATGCCTTTTAGAGCTTCAACTTCCACATTACTATATTATGGTTTGAAAGGGATTCACGATCCGAATTTGTGCAATGTATTAACGTCGAAACATATTCAAAGACTTATTATTGTGATGTTTGCTGCTTAGAATTATTTATACGGTAATATATTGGTCTGTCTGTTACAAGCAATCTCGTAAAAACATATTAACGTGGTGGTATGATCTTCCATTCATGCCAAGGTGTACCAATCGGGGTCTATAACGCTTACAGACACTTCCATCCAATATGTCAAGTAAATAGATTGAATAAATTGCCACGGTCAAATCGATTTCATGTTTAACAAGACCGGAGGATAAAACGTATTTTTCTTTGTGTAGAGGCAACCATGGAATGTATATCTTTATATCCCTTTCGGGTTGACTAAAGGGACAAAACGCCGAGAGGGGGATATTACAAGGACAAGATGATAGACTAACGCATTACTAATTTCATTTATTTACTGTGGTCACGTGTGCAGGGTTAAGAATTTTACCGCGTCTAACAAGGGTCGTTTTACGTACTCGCCCAATTGTACATGGGAGAAATGCGGGCTTTCCTCCCCACCAGTACCACTGTGACAATATTGTCGAGTCACCTCCATGGGAAATCGGAAGTGACCAATTCAGAATGTTCCTTTCGCACCACGTACATCTGAATTTATTTAGTTTGTCCCCAACAAGTGATTGGAATTCAAAATGTCCACTGTCCAAAATAAATGAAACGCATAGCCGACCACTAATGAGACCTCGTGAATAACAATCCATTTTGGTACATTTAATTTTATACTCCTCTATTTTTCGAACATTAGCCAAACTGAAACATTCGTAAAATGTTGCTGTTTAATTTGACGTAAACTCCGTTATTGATCAATAATCTGTGATATAGACATTCTCGATCAAACGGAAACACATTTGTGATCAAATGAATCTGTCAAAATACGATCTGTCTTTGTTTTTTCCCCGAGTAATGTCAATAAAATCTAAATTTCGTAATAAATCCCGCTCAATGCACCCGATTAGATTTTATTACATACTTCGAGAAGGTATTTGTTGAGTAATAAAACCTTCTAGTAGTTTATCGAAGGCTGGCCGTCCTTACCGCACGGTACAAATAAAACCTTCTAGTAGTTTATCGAGGTTCGGGTGTTTCCAGAGTCCAAAATGGCCGCTTTATATAAATGAGAATTTTGGGGATAACTAACCCGAACCCTAACCCTTTTTAAAAGACTGAACTTGGGTCTAATTTAGTTTTTACTTCTCTTAAAAGGGTTAGGGTTAGGGTTCGGGTTAGTATTCCCCTAAATACTCATTTGTATAAAGCGGCCATTTTGATATGAGTTCTGGCTTGTTCTGGAATTTGTTGCTTCTAGTGGTGATAATATTTGTACCGTGCGGCAAGGACGGCCGGCCCTCGATAAACTACTAGAAGGTTTTATTACTCAACAAATACCTTCTCGAAGTATGTAATAAAATCTAATCCGGTGCTCAATACAGATTCTGGAAGATTTGTGAAACTAATACTGCGATGATGGAAAGCTAATTATGTTTGATCTTAGGATGTTATAGTTAGAGCGACCCCGATCATCGGTTATTCGCGTTGATCTGCTGAAGTTCCATTCTGCTGGTACCAGTGGTGAGATTGCAGGTATTTGATCAGATCAGGTGTTTATTACTTGGCTTCATACAGCAGAATGATGAGATGGGCAGGTGCAGTGGCTCAGCGAGTAGGGCACATGCTCAGTGGCTCAGCGAACAGGGCGCACTAACCAAATGGTTGTAGGGGACGTGTCATAGAATAGGTTGTAGTCGTTCGGTGTGTTATTAGGGTGTGTGTGTGCGCGGGGGGGGGGTGTATTAAAATGTTTCGAATAGAACATCTTTGCATAATCATCGTTCTTTCAATTAGTGATGGGAACCGAGGTGGCTCAGTGAGTAATACGTTGGATTGATAATCAGCTCTCGGATTCGCTCCCGGTGTTGACCGAGAAAATATCCCGGTGCGGTTCCGCTTGTCATTAGTACAAGACGGGCAAAATGTCCTTTATAGCACACTGTATGGCGTATGGCCATGTTCATTTTCCAAGTCGGAGAAGAAAATTGGGATGCTAAACCCCATTTCCTTTCCATTTTGATTTAGTAAGTTTGTCTGGTTATGTTGTCCCATGAATATAGAATATTATTGACGCCATGTTGTCTAATTGGGAACAATGCTTATTGTACTCAGTAATAACAGGAAGAAAGGAACTACACCTTCCACGTCACCACCGGATATAGATCCTGGGTAAATGAGCCGTCAAATTAATACAAACATAGTCCCCTTAACGGAAAGTCTGTGCATTACCATGTTTTTATTAAGTATAGAATGAATAAAATAAGCGAATGTACGGACCTTTGCTATTTTTCTCGTTTTCTCTTATCTAGTGACATTCAATTAATTTTTTTGTATTGTCAGATATCCTTTCACAGTGTCATATAACAACTTTTCATCTTCAACAGAATTATCTGTAAGCTGAAATTCGATCGTATGTCTGTTATCGCTCGTTCCTTCAGGATAACTCGTGTTTTCAATTTTGTGCATCACTTCCCGTACCTTCAAATCTTCGTTACCCATGTACCGTAGTGATGATCTCTATGCTAAAATTATATTTGAAATGTCATGAATTTTCTTATTAGGATCCGCATATTGACTTTAAATAGTCGTGAGTAACGGAATCCCGGTGTTGGCGGAGAACGGTTCCTCATAATTTTCCAGCTTTGCGACGAAAACCAGAGGTCCTTGGTAGACATTGGCATGCACGTAAAAGAACCGTTGGTAATTGAAATTCGATATGTCTGCGATATAGAACCCAATTCCATATATATTCCTGTACACGCTGATGTCGTTGTGACTTTGAATATCCAACCAACCCGAGACATATGACATTGATTAATGGTACTATCATATCTTCATTTATCGAGCATATCGGAGACATGTATACCGAGTTTTGTTATTATTCTGGTGTGACCGAAAAAAACTATCTTTCAAATACTTTGTATAGAATCAGCAATGAATCTCCATTTATCGAACAAATCGGAGACTTGTATACCGATTTTGTTATTATTCTGGTGTGACCGAAAAAACTATCTTCCAAATACTTTGCATAGAATCAGCAACAATAATATTTCATTTTATCTTGATTACAAGTAAATCTTTCTTGATCACGGCATTTACATTCGCCGTTAATCATAATATTCTGATGGGAGTAACTTGTAGGCTAAGTCATCATAACCAATAATTAATTTAATCATCTGAACCGATGGCAATTATTTACCCGCAGTTACCATTTATCCAAATAATGACTGCAAATACAAGTATGACAGGGTGTTTAAGGTCGTGTATACATCATACTTCGTTCATTTTGAGACCAACATCTGGTTACATGTGCAAGGTCCGGATAGTGCTACAATAATTGACCCGTATAGTCTATTGAGTTTAATCCGTTGAAAATTAACTAATATAATCGTCTATTGGCTGCACCATGCGCGCAGTTAACATTGTGAAAAATGGCCAAAGTGGGTACAACAGTAGGCAACCATGTTTCAACGTCTAAGTTATGTCTGAATGCGCATGTGTGGGTAACTTACTCAACCTAATTAGAATTCCATTGTTCAGTGACGTGGTTCGTTCTTGTTGTTTATTTATCACAAAGAAGACTATTTGTCCCATCCACTGGCTTGATAATGGCACAATTATTGGCATATTTCATTAAGAAATATTCTCTCTTGTCAGTGACGGAGGGACTGACAAGGAAAGTTGTCTAGTCGTTCGGATGGGACGAAAAACCGAGGTCCCGTGTACACATTGGCGTGCACGTAAAAGATCCCTTGGCAGTTGGAATTCGATATAAGAGTAGGGCGTAGTGCCGCTGTCCGGGCAAAATTTCCCTCATAGCACACTGTATAGCGTATGCCCGTCTTCATTAGCCCAGGTTAGGAGCAGAACAGTAGGACGTTAAACTCCATTTCATTCATTCATTCATTCATTAAGAAATAAAAGAATAAAAAAAGTAATGCTCCTTTAACTGATATTAAAAACCTGACCCCCGTTTTTATACGCCCACATTGAAATGTGGTCGTATATTGTCGTCGCCCCCGCCCGTCCGTACGTCCGTCGGTCCAGCGTCCACAATTGCTTGTGAGCGCTCTAGAGGCTAAAGTTAATATCTGATTGACTTTAAATTTATACACAGTGTTTAAGGTCTTGAAACGAAGAAGCCTATTGATTTATAGCGATTTCCGATAATTACTGCCAGAGTTATGGCCCTTGATCACTTTGAAAAATCTTGTGGACGCTCTAGAGGCCAAAGTTAATATCCAATTGACCTTAAATTTATACACAGTGTTTGAGATCATGAGACGAAGAAGCCTATTGATTTTCAACGATTTCCGATAATTACTGCCAGAGTTATGGCCCTTGATCACTTCAAAAAATCTTGTGGATGCTCTAAAGGCCAAAGTTAATATCCGATTGACTTTCAATTTATACACAGTGTTTAAGGTCATGAGACAAAGAAGCCTATTGATTTTCAGCGATTTCCGATAATTACTGCCAGAGTTATGGCCCTTGATCACTTCAAAAAATCTTGTGGATGCTCTATAGGCTAAAGTTAATATCCGATTGAGTTATACACTTTGCAAAATCTTGTGATGCTCTAAAGGCTAAAGTTATAATCCGATTGACTTCAGATTGATACACAGAGTTTAAGATCTTGAGACGAACAAGTATATTGATTTTCAATGAATTTTTATCACTTGAACAGTTAAATCCATGATATTAAAAGCTTTGCATACAAAACATTAGCATGGGCAGAAGTTTATAAAAACCAAACAAATTCTAATAGTTTTCTGATAATTACTTCGTGAGTTGTTGCTCTTAATCAGATTTTAGTGTATTATAAATGTTTCATTACCGAAAAAAGTAAAAATATGCGACAACCCTTGTTGACGGCTCGGACGATTTAGTTGCTGTGGGCGTATGTTTCGTTGCCTGGCAACCTATCTTCATTAGTCTGGTTGATGGGATAAAAAATAGGACGATAATAATCATTTCCTTTAATTGTAACATGTATGCTGCTGCGACATTTCGCGCCGTAAACACAAATAATTGCGTGCCATTAAATAAATACTGTGATTATAAATGATTTATATAACATTTGCCTGACATTTGATATAGAAAATCAGCCACCTAGAACAATGCCACATTTCAGTAATTAAAGGGGTGATATGATACAAGAAATGTTTCAATCCTGATTCTCAGTAATTTGTCATTATATATTTAGATACTTTGAAACTTTGGGATGGGTGGTATCCTGCTATATCTCAGGGTAGGTGGTAGCCTACTGTATTTCAGGGTAGCCTACTGTATTTCAGGGTAGGTGGGGTGTCCTACTGTATATCAGGGTAGCCTACTGTATTTCAGGGTAGGTGGTAGCCTACTGTATATCTGGGTAGGTGGGGTGGCCTACTGTATATCAGAGCAGATGGTGCCTACTGTATATCAGGGTAGATGGTAGCCTACTGTATTTCAGGGTATATGGTAGTCTACTGTATTTCAGGGAAGATAGTAGCCTATATTTCAGGGTAGACGGAGTGTCCTACTAAGGGTAGCTGGTAGCCTAATATATTCAAGGGTAGATGGTAGCCCCAGGGAAGATGGTAGCCTACGTCTCATTTTATTACAATTCGCATACATTGCTATATACCAAAAGAATACACTAGACAAATTAAACCATTTATTCACGACCAGTTATGTCATTTTTACATCAGTAAGTATCGAGGTAATGAATTTTTTGAAGCACGATAATTCTAATTATCGCGATAATTTACTCACGACAATAATCCATGATATCGCTATAATTTAATTTTATCAATATTGTTGCAACCTTAAACAATCCATTCTGTATTTCTTTTTCAGATCATAATTTTACGTCATAGCGAAATCTTAACCACGATTACACATGTCAACTAAAGTTGATAACCTCTCGGAGAGAGAGAGAAAGATATATATAAATGGGGTTTAACGTCCACTCAACACAAACCAGGTCATTTGGGGACTAGCATATGGTTCAATTTTAATTAAATAATTCGCTTGCGCTTATGGATCTTTAGCAGTGGGAGGAAACCGGAGGACCCGGAGAAAACCAACGAGGCTGGACAGGCGACCCTACTCCTTGTCACATACAACCCCGGAATCGAAACCACGCCACTTGACTCCGTGACAGACCTTATGATCCAACGCGCACGCGCTAACTATTCGGCCATCCAACCCCCCAACAACTAGACGGTTAAGTGTTATTGTTGAATAGTAAGCGCACGCGCTAACTATTCGGCCATCCAAAGTGTATGGAAAACGTCTTATTTCAGGGATGATACACTTGAATAAGTTATATATATACACGTGTCGTGTTACCTATTTCAGAGATGGTACCCTGGATCAAGCTATAAAGTGTATGGAAAACGTCTTCACAGCCTGCATACAACACAAACAAACCGACAGTCTCGAAAAACTTGTCAATATTGAAAGATGGAGAACCGGCATGAACCTTCTGTGTGATAATATAAACGGTATTATATAATGATTATTTAATTATATTCGAACACCCATTTATTTAGGATAATTATAGTAGAATTGTATTCTTTTAAATGCAGTGATAGCATTTGACAGCGCAGCTGTCTAGTCGTTCGAATGGGACGAAAAACCGAGAACCCGTGTATACATTGTCGTGAACATAAAAAACAATGTATCCCTTACAGTTCGAATTCGAAAAAAAATAAGATTAAGCCATAGTGCCGCTGCCTGGGCAAAATGTCCTCCATAGCACACTGTGTGACGTATGCCCATCATCATCAGCCCAGTAGGATCAGAACAGTAGGACATTTCATCTTCGTATTAGACAACAGTCCCACGCCAAATATGCATAAGGAAATCAAACACAAACACACAGTGTGCCAAATAAATTTCTCAATGAATCTCATTTTAATACACGGGTGACCAATTAAAAGTGGGTGAAAAAGTAGATTGGATTGTCGATTCTCATATTCCCAAAGGGAAATAACTCTCCTCGCAAGCCGATTGTGAGAATAATTGATTTTTGCCGAAATAGCATGTTAATGGAAACATTGGGTGAAGTCAAATGTGGTGTAGAAGTTAATTTCCATTTTAAAACTAAATGTGTTTCTGAAAGTGTAGATCTGAATTAAAACGTTGAAGAATGCAAGTTTTTATTTCAGTTTTACAACACTTGATTGTGTTAAAACCTTGCATGTCGGATGTTTTTGCAATTCTGTAATTTATCACTGTAGAAATTCCAGCTTAATCATGTTGCCATGACAGTTCTATATAGATAGAGTCTCCATTCAAGTGCCCGCGCCCATGTCTTCCCTGTACATTAAATATTGTAAAGGAGGCAATGGGGTGGTTAAACTGTAGTATTACTGATTACAATACGATAACTCTACTTTGTTATGACCTTTAGAAACATTAAACCAATGTACTGTTAGCGTGGTTACTCCCGAAATGGCCTGGATTGTGTTACTTTGACAGTTCGCACGGGCGGAACAAGGTTAACCGTTCATTCTCCTGTAGGGGATCACGGTGGTTAAGTATATGACGCTGGCTCGCTAGCCTGGAGGTCGGGTGTTCGATCCCTGCATTGGCCGAGAAAAATCATCCAGATTTCCCAGCGTGCCCCCCCCCCCCCCTGTCAGTGATGCAGGACTGACGTGCACGCAAATGAAATGAAATAAAATAGGGTTTAACGTCCTACTGTTTTGCGCCGAACTGGGCTAATGAAGACGGGCACACGCCATACAGTGTGCTATGAGGGAAATTTTGCCCGGACAGCGGCACTACGGCCTACTCTTATATCGATTTTCAACTGTCAAGGGATCTTTTACGTGCACGCCAATATGTACACGGGACCTCGGTTTTTCGTCTCATCTGAATGACTAGACAGCTGTCCTTGTCAGGCCCTCCGTCCTGCATCACTGACAAGGGGCAACCACGCCGGAAAATCTGGATGAACTTTCTCGGCCAATGTAGGGATCGAACACCCGACCTCCAGGCTAGCTGACGTGCACGTAAAAGATCCTTTGACAGTTGGAATTCTATATAAGAGTAGGCCGTAGTGCCGCTGTCCGGGCAAAATGTCCCTCATAGCACACTTTTTGGTGTATGCCCGTCTTCATTAGCACTGTTCATTAGCAGAACAGTAGGACGTTAAACCCAATTTCATTTCATTCTACTGTAACTAGGTCTGGTCTCGAGAAGTGAGAAGAAACACGATACAATCATGTCGAATTCGTGTAACATCGCTGTATAATCCCACCGTAGGCATTAACATAGCTGTATTTGGCAGGAAGTGGAAAGAGGGTGCGCGACCATCTTCACCCCTTCCCACATCTGTGTGCGGATCATGTTCTAGTAGACATTGGAGATTTGCGGGTCAAAATATTCAGATCAAAATATTGAATGGTTCTGAACTGAATCTTTAGCTTTGATTTCATTGTTATAGATTATCCAGACACTTATTTTGCGTGGAATTTGGAGAGTTATGACCAACTCCATAATGAAGAATTTAGTGGTACTAAGCTACTAAGCTATTAGATAGTTGTGCAGGACTCTGAGTAGTTCCGTTAGGAACAGTGCCCGATCGGACGATTTTCACTCACCGTTCCTATGCGTCCTAATATTAAACTGCAATATGAAAATAATATCGCTTTAACCCCACCTATGTTCTAAGCAAGGCTATTTTGGAATCCCTATTGACTATTTGTCACCGTGATTCTTCTTTTTTCACCAAAAGGAATCATTTCTTGACACATTTATATTAATTCCAAACTGTTTTCAAGAAAAATTGTGCGAGACAGCCATGAACTCGCGACCTAAGGTTTGCGCAAACGCGAGTTTCATAATGGCGGACCAAATCGAACGTCGCTTACAATGATGTAATTTGAATGAAATTGGAACTATTATAGCAAGAACGGTCAGTTCTTAATCTAAGTCTTACATAATGCATTTTCAACTTTTAAAATCAGACACGCCGAGGATTTAAATGCGTTTCCAACAAAATGATTTTTACTGTTGATTGTACTTGAAGTCTATATTTAAAATCAGACATGCCGAGAATATATATGATGTTTATAATTTCAGATTTGATCGGAAATGATCAATGTATTCGTGATGCTAATGTACAGAGCCAGGTTTGTGTATCTCGGGAATCTACAGAATTTCGAAGCAAGTTAAAGATTAAAGTTATGGGTGGTGAAACAAGTCCGGATGAGATTATGACATTTAGTTGCATGTAAGTTGATGACATTAAAGCACTCGGCCACGCGTTACCTCCAAATACATGCTGGCTGATGACGTTATAAACTCGTATTTACCGTAATCACGACACTATCGGGCCCCAAGTTCACAAAGCATTCTCAGACTTAAGTTAAGAATTTACTCAAAATTGTTTGCCTTATTTTAACTAAAATATAGCCCTTTATAAAACTTTTGTTGTTTTAATGCATCAACTATATCAATAAGAAACTATTTGCCAAGTTTTGTGTTTCTAGATCAAAGATATTTCTCATAAACAGTGATTGAAAGTTGAGTAAATTCTCAACTTAAGTCTGAGAATGCTTTGTGAACTTGGGGCCAGAACTGCCATTAATCGGAGTAATAGATGATATTGTTCAGTATTCCTTTCAACAGAAATCTTGATATACACGACAATGTGTTTACGTGCACCAGAATAAAAGGATTCGCAAATTGTAACCATGGAACGACGAGCTGCTGCCATCAATCAAAGAGATATTACATTTGTTAGTTTAAAAATGCTTTGGTTGTTTCTTTTTCAGATTTGCCGATAGAATAGTCGGGTGTACGAGAAGACTATTATCTGATTATTGTCCAGCCAATGTTAGAGATGTTATGACGGGAGTGGTTCAATCCTTTATGCCACCTATCTGTGATCCTTATTGGGGCAGTGCCACGTCCAACTCGAATGTACCTAAAATATCACTATCAGTGATCTTCATATCGTGTGCTATTATGGTGAATTTTTGTTAATATTGTTTGTTGGCCTTGCCTGTGTTTAATCCGCCCCAAGACAACATTGGACTAACTCGCTGAAAACATATTGGACTAAGTTTCATTGTGTTGACTATCGGTTGATGTTATTTTGGTTCTGTGCAAATTCAACAGCTAGACTACATTTGAATAATTCTCCTAAAAGACAATTGGCCAAGTTTGATTACTTTGTGATTTCCTGGTGTCTTGTTTGCTGTATTAAACAGATTCTCCTAGAGGCGACCTTGGATAATATTGATTAATAAGGCTTACTTAGACACAACCCCGGGAGAAAGACATTTATTAATTTGGCTGTTTATTTACTGATATATATTTTCCACGTCGTATTTGGCCATCTACCCTCTTCCCATTCTCGGTATCCCCAGTTGTGTCGTTTTCCTTCTTATCCACTAACCCCTGTGTTCATCCATAGTCAAATTATTCGCCCTTGGATGTAAACTTTTGGTTGGTTCGTAGAAGCAAGCTACGATCAAGGGTAGATTATATGAATGCGTGAAAACCACGTTGATTGACCCAGCGGTTAGTGGAGTAGAACGCAAGGATACCACGGGGGATACCGAGAATGCGCTCTTCATTGATCTTCAGTATGCAGGGATAATTTTTAAAAAACCTATTTACACTGACCTTTTGTCGCATTACAGCGCGAAATGTACAGGCAAGCCACATACACGTTGCTCTGTTTCTGCAAATTGTCGCTGAATTATAACACTGAACAAACTCGTCATAAATATATCATTCAAGACAAGGCGACATTAACTATTATTGTATTGGTTTTAAACTAATTCCCACTTGGGCATCATCCGAACGCTGGCAGACACACTCGGTAATGTCATATGAACCGTCCCTTAGTCATGTGATGGATTTGACCAGGATCATTTGTTGATTTTGAAATTTGTATTATAGTGTATATAGTTTATCAAACATGTTCTGTTTCCTGTCAGGGGCCCATTTCATGAAGCACGATAACAGTGCTTACAGTAAAATATCTCATTTACATCTATCTTGTAAAAACGGTATCTTGGTCAGTTTGCAACAGATAAATCTATTAAAATCAATTGTCACATATCAAATCCACTGTGGCCATACCCCGTTCAGTGTTCCATACAAATACATTTTATTGCGGTTCTAAAATGCCAAATATATCATCTTATGATGATACATTCTTGAATTGGTTGACACAAAAGGCCTTCTAAGGAGAGCGTGACATTTATATGGTAACCAAAGCTAAAACAGCCTTCAATCATTCTTCTGAGATGAAAGTAATATTCTATTAGGTGAGATTTTTGTTGTTAATGGATGGCATTCAAACAGTCCCGAATGATTGACCCGGCCGACATGCTGTTATTAGAGGCCCTGTCCAATATATCGTAAGGATGCCATTGCTTGTAAATATCCATTTCACGTTTATATATTTAAAGTTACAAGTTCATATTTTCTAAGAAAGTCAAAACATAATTATGTCTATGTCTTTTGCTCAATAGGTTGTCAACTCACTATTATACTATCATAGGTGTCATTCTCACACTTAACACTCATTTATACCGGAAATAATAACACAGTTACCTCCCTTGTTTTCTATTCTCCACCATGGAGTAGCTATCTTCAAACGTTTGAATTTGAAGAGGAAAATGATATTTTTGCCAATTTCTCAACTGGCAATAGTGAATTATAGGATTATTCTTTAACAAGGTAGGACTGTTTATAGATACCATCTATTTTAAGGTTTTATTTTAATAAATTTTAAAAATATAACTTAAAAATATGAAATTGCAACTTTAAAACAAGGTGTTGGTAACCATGACTTTTTAATATATGTATATTTATTGTCAACGACCTTGACACCAATCTGATTAAAATACAGATCTATATTTCGTTTCGTTTTTTTTTTACACTTTCGATGACCTACACCACATGAAGATCTGACCAGTTGTAGTAAAAGGTCGCGTCGGAAGTCGTACGAACGGCTTTTGACCCTATGGCGTCAGACATTGATTAATCAATCAGCGTTGACGTTGCTAGTGGTTTATCCACAGTTTCCGTGCATCGGACGCCAAGAAGTCGCTGTTACAGATGGTTTCATAGGTTAATCCCTCACGCCATCAAGAACGCAGGTTATATAACAACTCTTCCAGATTCCATTGTAGAACAGACACGTAAAACGAAATTTTGAACTATAATAAAACGAAACGAAATAGGATCTGTGTTTTAACCAGATTGCCCTGAAACCAGATTATGTGGAATATAGTAGCACTTGCTTCATTAAGCCTTATGTTGTCGTGCACACGTCAAGTTATATTTTTTCATATTTTGTAAACTATAAAATAGCAATCAGGATTTCCTGTATTAGTAAAATGACCTAATAAGGCGTTATGGCACCGATCTTATTATTTGCCCTACTTACAACGTTATAAACAACAACGGTTTTTCTATCCACTTTGACATCGTGGTTTACATGTGGTGTATTTGTGAATTTCTTGTTCCATGAAAAACATGGAAAGGGGGATGTTAGTAAGGTGAGGAGTTATCTCCCTTGAATTGAAACATGTCTGTATAGTCCATCTTGTATATAAATAATGTTAATATGTAAATTATTTATCTTGTACATCTTTGTAACACCGAATGACATAAACTACATTCTAATTATATCAAATCTCGTTATTTTTTCATGTAAATTACTTCGGTCACTGAAATGAATTGGAGTTTAACGTCCTACTGTTCTGCATCGACTGATGAAGACGGGATTACGCCATGTGCTATAAGGAAAGTTTTGTCCGGACATCGGCACTACCGCCTACTCTTATTTCGAATTCAAACTCCCAAGTGGTCTTTTACGTACACAGGATCGGTTTTTTGTCCCACCCAAACGACTAGACACTGCTCCTCGTTTGCACCGCTGACAATCACGAAGCAGGTCTCGACTAACACCGGAAGCGCACCGGAGACCCGAATAGCGAGCCAGCGCCTTACAAGATTACAGAAAAAAGAAGGAAAGCATTTTAAAAATCACTTTCCATTGAGCTCACTTGACTGTATGGTCTATACCAATGGAAGTGAGCCGGAAGAACCGGAGAAAACAACACTCTGGATTAGGCAGAAGATCCCTTCTCCTTGTCACGAACAAGTGTGGTATCGAAGGTCACGTGACTTAATGTCATATTACGCTAGGATCTAAAGCGCACGCGTTAGACAAATCGACTTCAACCCCAAATTGGTGTCTAAAAATATAAAATAATATCAGTCATAAGTGCTCCTTCACAAAAAAAAAGGAAACCTAAAGTTTGCACATAATTAAAAAACGGTTGTGTCTGTTTCACATAGATCAGATCATAACGTCACTGAGGTGCTACGAGATTCATCCTCAATAGAAGGCTTTCAAGGTTCATTTAATGTCAAGGTTTACGTGGAGGTCGCTTTGTCACAACCTCTGATTGGACGCTACTGTTCACGTGTCTGTAGATAACGTAGCTATAAGTTCGGGAATTATGAAGTAATCTAGCAACGACCAGATGTTGTCAAACTCGCAGTCGTTGCTTCAGGAACATGTACGAGATTTGGATACAGATAGGAAAGGGTTCTTCCTATGACGGACAGCCAAGAAAAAGTTTCGGAAAGATTACATCATAATCGAATACATTACGATGTTTACAAGATTTCGTAACAGAAGGGGATAAATCAAAAATGGTTCAAAATATAGATGCTTCCTCGTGAGATAGACAACCTATATCAGTTTTAACAATATATCCAACGCATAGATTATTGTATCGTGTAGTGTATTAAGCAGGCACATTGTATTGAACGACACACCGACCGTCGTTCATCTTTTTGAATTTTCTGGGGATACTCAAGTGAACGTTCTGGATTTGAATTTTCCCAATACCCTAAATAGCGACAATCGAGTGCAAAGGGAGATTTCGTGCTACAACACATGCGTCGACTGCATAAAAATTATCCCAGCCATGACAGCTGAAACATAATCATTGCATTTAATCACATCACGATTTTACTCACACCATCTCTGTTGACGGGACTGAAAGGACTCACTTCCGCGGTAGCCTACTCGATTGCAATTTTGTCAATTCTGGACGTTACGCACTCTAGCATCACATATGTATTAAAGGAAGGGAGGTAACTCTGAGAGTCATTGATTCTTTCTTGCCATAAGATTTCAGTCCACATAGACGAATTGATTATTGCAGTGCTAACAAACAATATGATCGATGGGCTGTCTGGTGACCATGTGGATGAAAATCACAGAACGGTTAATTTTCGATAATTGTCGTGTATTTTGTACACGAGGAGCAGTCCATTTGCTGATTACACTATTTTGCTTGAAGACACTATTTTGCCTATAACGTTTTTTAGGACTTCGAATTCTGTCCTATGGTTTGGATTGTTCGTACTTGGTTTTATTTTATTTTTGTAGCAGCGAACTCAATACAAACGATTATTGGAACACATACTTAAGTGTTTCATTTGAACGTTCGTAATTTTGGTACAACTACAATTAAATATGCTCATTAATGACGTAATTGTGACAATACCGATACAGAAATTTTGTGAATTTTGACGTAGAATTTAAAATGGTTAAGCGTAGGGCGACCGCACCACACACAGTCGAATATACAAGACAAACCTACGGACAGGACACAATATACATACACCATAAATGAATGGACCCGGGAACTATAATTCACGCATTTAAAAATTCTACATGATTACATAGTTCAAATTCAGACTGACCCCCTTGTGTGCGAAAGATAACATATTCATATTATCAATACAAAAAAATAATTCTACGAAAGGGAGTGACATTACACTATATATGCAAATAATGAGAGTTACCATTCCTTAGTTTAAGATTCCTCTAAAATGACAATTCTTGTATTTTCCCTGTGTAATCACCATTACATTGCCGAATGATCTGTTTAATAGATTTTAGTCATGTACTTAAAGTACCGGTAGCTAAGTCTCTAACTCAATATCATGCGAAGGCTTCGACATTGACAGCACGAATTATTTGTCCATTTAAATCAACACAGATGGAAAGATGAACTTCTGATATCCAATATTTAAGACAAAATAAACATTTTACCATTTTACCATAATGCGTTTCAGCGCCATTTGTAACGAGGCTAGACATTCCACAATTCATGTCAAAAGGTGACGTCATATTCCTATCTGAAGATGAGCATGCGCAAGAAATACTATCGGTGTAGACTGGCCTTACCAGACGCTAGAGATTGCCATTCGATTGAGACTTCGGGCGTATTTCGCCAAACATAACTGATTTAAAATAAGAGTAAAAACGGACACATTGGATGTAAATCAGTTTATATAATTCATACATTTTAAAATGCGTTGCGATCCATTTGTGTCAATTTCTAGGTCCCAAATATGAGCGATTTAGCTTCTTTCAATCATTTGGTGGCGGAACCGCTGCACGTGTTCCGGGGCTGATCAGGTGTGACGAAGCTGGCATGCAAATAGTAACTATGCCAGTTGGAATCGAGCGTATTCGGGATCATTGGTTCTTCATTTACTATAATAACATAAAGTAACAACAACAAATCACCACCGTCCCATTTACCTGCGCGATGGACCTGGATGATAAGGAAACAAAATTGATTAGCAACTATTGGATATTATTTAAAAAAAAAAAATAATAATAATAATTGCTCCTCTTGATTGCAATAGAAAATAAGTAACTTTTCACGGTGTCGAAATGATCTATAAAGGCCATAATATCTACCGGTATATACAACTAAAGAATTGTAATTTTTTATGCTTTGCAAATGTGGTTCTTAAATCGAATGTTTACGAATATTATCGGACTTTAGAGCAGTACCGGTAATTCCGATATAAAGAGTCCTACTGATGTTTCGTATGTGATTTTCTCTACTGTCATATTTAATACATACTCAGCGTTGTATTCTGCTTATGATGAGGGGCCCTTTAAGTTCATAATCAAGTCAACGATCATCGGCATCATATTTACATTTCTATTCTTTTACCGTCAAAAATTAGCAGACAACGCTATCGTCAATCAACAGCGTGAATCCGGAGAACACTAGTCAACCACTTCGCCTTTATATATAGTGCCTCATACTTCGAGGTTCTATCGTTGACCGAGTGTTAGAAATATAAAGACATCGAACGCGGTTTTGGCTTTAAAACACTTTCGGCTGATTAATAAAACAATTATACTACTACGGTTAGTGTTTGGTGGAACAATCTGCTGGACTGGGTACAACTATTATTGTTAATTTTAAACCAAAACTAGATTGCGGATAGAAATGACAACGGACATACATCATCCAGTGTAGCGTGCCTTTAGGACAATTTTGTCCTGATAACGACGCTACGGCCTGCACTGATTTCGATTTCCAACTGTCGGCGGATCTTTAGCATGCTGCCAGCTCTCGTGTTATATACATCGAAGGACCACCTCGGCTTTTGGCAGGCTGGATAGAGATTATCCTGGTTGAATCAAAACCAAATTTACAAGAAAATAGTGACTGGACTGGGTAAGCAATTATGTGTTCCATTTTGTTGCTGCATCTGTTTTGCTAGTTCCATTTCAATGACAGGTATGTCGTTCTAATTAATAAAATAATATATAGTTATGGAAGATTAGATAAAAGAAAAGAAATAGATAATGTCACAGGAATATTCGGAAAATTTCTTCACTCTAAGCAAAGAAACACTCATTTTATTTGTGACATAAATAAAAAAAAAACGACCTGATTATCCATTTCTGTGTTTAATCATCAGTGTCTGTTGAACAGTAAATCGGTTTCAAATCTAATGAAAATCAGAAGTATCAGATTGCATCGAAAGTTGATTATGGTCTTGTCATGTCTAATGAATAGTTTATATAACATTTCAGGCCTAACGCAAGACCTGCAATAGGCAGATTTAGCTCTTGCATAATGTATGTTTTTAAAGATACATTAGTTAAGAGCTAAATATGCCCATTGCAGGTCTTTCTGTAGGCTTCAAATGTTACAGAAATATTATTACTTAGATCTTTATTTACAAGCTCAAAATAAACTTGTAGACCCCAGGTGGCTTGGATTTAAACCGTCGTCCAGTTAATAATTAAATCATTAAATGGCTGACCAAGTTATCATTTACCATTGATAATCGAGGGTACCGTAGCCATTGAGAATGATACTTGATATTCGTGAATATGTGGGCGGAGTTATCGTCTTGTCAATCAAACAACCATTAAAAACAACCAAAAAAAACCAACTTTGTACACAGTTTCCAGGTTCAAACGATTGGCGAGGAATTTCTTTTGGTAAGAAAGCGTGGATCAGGATTCCGGACACAAAATTGGGGAATGGTTACATCTCCTTCTTCGTTATTGACACTAGTCCAGTGACAATGGCTTTTGAGACGACTGATCAACGTCTTCGGAATCACTCGAATCTCCCGACAAAGTTTCATGATACGTATCAAAACCTTCAAAATCATTACCGTCACTATCTTCATTAATAATCCGCCATATCTCAGTTTCTCCTTCATCGATTCGTCGCTGTTCCTCGTCTCCGTAGTTGTCAAAAGCAGTCGCCATGTTGACTTGTTGTGACAGCAGAAACGATCCGAAGATTCTGACGTTTCCCCGCTTAGTTTTTTGTATAAACAAAT